ACAACAATTTGTGGATCACACAAAGTGTCGTCCCATGTGGGATTTGAACCCACAACACTCGGCGTAGTAGGAAGCGGCGTTGTGACCGCTTAAACCGCTACGCCATACGCGCAGTCACATTTACATATATTACAAAACCAATAGTTTACAATAATTTACATAATTAACAAATTTTTGAAGTGAAAACATCTTTAGGCGCTTTGGGCTTTTTTGAACAACAAAGAAAAGAATGTATTTTATGGTTTAACAAAAAATATGTGCATAAAGTATAAATAAATAAAAAAATAAAAAAACAGACACCTCTGTATTTAAGTATGTAAGTTCGATTCTGTCGGCACTCCCAGAGAGACACTGTATTATTTTTAATTTAAATGTCATTGTAATGCTTTTTAATATGTACTGCGGAAACATTTATAGACACCGATCAAGCGCGAGTCGGACTCGCGCACTAAGGGTTCCGTCCAATATCTATAAAAACGGCAAAAAATCATGTCTGTTGTAGAGCCCTACTTAAATATTAATTTTATTCTATTTTTTGTTATAGCGGCAACAAAAATACATCATCTGTGAAAATTTCAACTGTCTAACTATCAAGACTCATGAGATACAGCCTGGTGACAGACGGACAGACAGACAGACGGACGGAAAGGCAGACAGCGGAGTCTTAGTAATAGGGTCCCGTTTTATGCTTGGGTACGGACCTAAAAACAAAGGCATTTTCTGCCATCTAGCGAGCTATAGATTTGACGGTCCTGTTGCTCTAGTGGTTAGTGATCCTGACTACTATGCCAGAGGCCGTTGGTTCGATTCAAATAATTGTTTGATGAGCACGATCATTTGTTTTGTGTCTGGGTGTAATTTATATATAATATGTATGTATTTAGTAATTTATAAGTAATAATATAATATTCTACCATATACACACAACGCCATCTAGTCCCAAACTAAGCAGAGCTTGTACTATAGATACTAGACAACTGATATAAATACAGATAATTTTTTTTTTTTTTTGTAAATACATACATATTATACATAGAAACACCCAGACCAAATCAAACATCAAATGTTCATGCACACAAATGTTTGACCTGAGCGGGAATCAAACCCGCAACCTTCTGGAATAGCAGTCCGTTACACAAACCACTACGCCATCCGGTCGTCGTTTATTTATTTAACTTTATGCACTTTTGTACATCGGCGGATTTAATGCCCTTCTCTTCCAGCCAACAGCAGAGAGGTTACGTCTTACATTACGTAATTAATGACATATATGTAACGGTTCGCTACATAACCTTACTTATAGATACTCATACAATACAACACATCATAAATACATACAAATACAATCATACACATGCATATTTATTTACACAATTATATTTATATAGATATTTACATTTATCAGCGGTCGATCTTAGTCAATCTTTGCGCAAGATGGCTGGCAGGAGCTGGATGCGAGAAGCCCAAAATCGATCTAAGTGGCGTGCAATGGGAGAGGCCTATGTCCAGCAGTGGACTGCGATAGGCTGATGATGAATCTTAGTAACAACTAGTGTACCTGTTTACCTATTAGATTGCGGTAAATAATTACTGCTGTGTAATGAGAACTGAAATTAAAATGAAGTCACGTGAAATGCGAAGAATGACGCCGACACACACGTGAGAGGAAAACCACATCTACTCAGATTATTGAACCCTGTTACGATTAAAACTAGATTCTATTATTTTCTATAATTTGATTCGATTTTCGTTTAATTAACATTTTTTGTGATTGTGTGTGAATTTTAGTATTAAAATTATTCGGTGCTTCAAATATGGTGTACCAGCCACGGTGTTACTCGCAGTTTATTAAATATAAGTACTGAGTGTATTAGTTAACTGAAAATATATTTCAATTCGTTGTTCATCCCACGGCAACACTACATTTTTTCGGGATAAAAAGAAGCAGAGTTAATCCAGGGTGTCAGCTACCTCCATTCCAAATTTTATCAAAATTGATCTAGCCGTTTGAGCGTAAAGAAGAAACACACATAAAAACACACTCATAAACTGTGATTTCAAAATTGAACTCAAAATTACTGTGATTGGTTCCAATATATTACAGTGAGAGTTGAGATGGACCTCCTCCAAGTTTTTTTAGAAAATAGAATCCAAAAATATAAAACAGAGAAAGTTTAAGGAACATTGCCCGACTTGTATGAAAGCTAACGTCAACACTGAATTTATTTGTAATATTATCTTTCCCATACATCATATATAACTGTCAATAATATCAATCCGACCCTTCCTAGTGCCACGGGTACAATCACGCGCCGGCTTTCCCCCACGTATGTGCGGGGATAGTGCGCGTGCGAACGGCGCCGCACACACGATCGCACGCGCCGGCTACTTGACGTGCTCGTAGGATGTGTGGGGGAGCACTGTGCAGATTAGAATGAGTATAGCTCATTCGAATACGCAAACAACTCGATTGTACTTCAAAAATAATGGCTGAATAGATTAACTGCTTGTTTTTACTTCTATATAGTACCTAACTACTCGTCAAGATTTGCCAGCGCTTTTCCAGTGGTTATTTGGAAAACGGCAAGATTCGGTTTTCTTTTATAGTCCGCCGCCTGTTTGAGGTCAGCTTTACCCGGAAATTAAATAGTTTTCGGACGGGATAAAGAAGAAGATGAATTGTTTTAAGGAATACGGTTAGACCTAGGGTAAGAGGTGCCACAAATTCTTAGTAAGGAGACTGAAATTGAAAAACTTGATGAGGCCGTACCCGTATGTAATGGATGAGGCCTCTAAGGCAGGAATATTAACTGGTCTCAAGTCGTAAACGTCTATATGCAGGATATGATAACGTTTAACTGCACGGATGGCGTATTGGTTTAAGCGGTCATCTCGCCGCTTCCTACTGCGCTGAATAGCTGTGTAGTGACTGAATGCATAACCTTCTAACCCAGTCTTGTCACACTGAATTCTTTAAAACATACATACAAATATCGTCATGATCGTAGAATAATTTCGGTTATGAAAAAAATACGAATTGCAGTTTTTACCATATTTGGATACTAAAATGTCTAAATATTATTAATACATTCAAGAAAAAAATATATGTATTTTAAATGTTAAATTATTCAGTGTTTGTTTGACAGGTGCTCAAAGTAAGATGAAGCATGTGATTTTTCTAGAAAATTGTAAAATTATTATCTGTTATTTTTATTGCATTAAGAAAAACTCTATTTTTTCACTTGTATGCCAATTTACATAATTACAGATTTAGAATTTAAAAAGTTATGTCAAAAAAATAACATAATTATTTGAAATGGCTGCCCTGTGAAGTTCAATACATGTCAGATGACATGCACCATTATTTTTAGTCTGATGTGTAATATAACTACACGGATGGCGTAGTGGTTTAAGCGGTCGCCACGCCGCTTCCTACTACGCCGAGTGGTCTGTGTGTCCGAGTGGAACCCCACATGGGACAACACTTTTTGTGGTCCACAAATTGTTTTTCTGAGTCTGCGTGTTATTTGTGTCCGTTTCATGTATGTGTGTAAAGTCCCCCGCGACACCGGATAAATTCCTAGTGCGGGAATTATCATTTAAAAAGAAAAGAAAGAAAGTGACGGGACTCAAACAACCTGTTACTGGGAAGCGATTATGACCCATGGTCGATCAAAATAAGATAAAATAAAATTTAGTTTTGTTATTTTTATTATTATTTGCAGAGCGAAGATTTCTGTATTTCTGATTTAGACGACAGGAAATGTAAGGAGGAAGGTAATTAGGTGAGAATGGGGAGATGAGTAATGAAATTAAAGAGGTCAGAGCTCGATGATTGCGGCGCAGGCGAATGGGTCACCAGTTCGATTGGGAACGTAAAGCAGACACATGATCACATACTTGCAAAGTTACAATAAGTATAGTAGTTTATCGACGATTGAGGGTAAAGTTTTAACACAGCTTTCTGTATAAAAAACTGATTAAGAGACATTAAAGTCACATCAATTTCACAATTTGTACTTCCCCGGGAATTTCTTGCTTAAGCCACACGATACGTAACCATTCTCGCATTTTCAAAAAAAAAAATATATACAAAAAAGAAACAAATATTTTTTTTTATATTTTTTTTTTTTTTTTTTTTTTTGTTATATGTTTTTTAAATATTTTTTTTTTAAAAATATTTGATATCAACATAATTTATCCCAGTTCCAAGACATAGCTTAGAATACAAACTTTTATGTGTGTATTCGGTAGAGTGCACAAAGGGAAGCAAAATCTTTGTTAAGACTTTGAAAGGCTTACTTAAACTTCAAGAGTTTGAATTGAAATTAATAATCGTCAGTGACTGCCTTGTACAAAGTTAAAACCTAAACTCAAACTCGCATATTCAGATATAAATTTTATAAAAGCTATTTATTATTTCATTGAAAATTAAATATATTTTAACAGTATACTAGTTTGTCGAAATTGTAGTAGCAGAGAAAGGTGACGTACAGCGCCACCTGTTTTTGATTTTCTGATGACAGGAATGGTTCAGATATATTTAATCTTTGTTTTTTTTAAATAACTTAAAACTAATTTGTTAAAAATTTTAATGGCCATATAGTTTATTATAAAAAGCTTTAACGTTTTAAGTGTTTTCAAATTTCAGTGACAATATTTAAAAATAGCGCCATCTGTTAGTCATCGTGTAAACGTGTTAGGAAGGTTAAGGCTTAAATCGCGAACAACTATACTAGATGGCGCTATAACCAAATTTTGAGTTCGAAGTGTACGTTGGAGGTCAGTTTTGTATCATATAAGGTTCCGGTTTTTTAAATATAGATTTTATTTATTACGTATAGGTTATATTACCCATATAACGAAAATCTTAGTTACTAAATTTTAAGTTCCATATAACATTACACGTCGGATTACTGTGGTTTAAAGAAACTGCTTTTAAATATATAATAATGATTTATTATTAACCCTTAAAAAAAACACCATAGACTATTTAACCGTTATTTATCGTGACTCGACCGCGAGTCGGGATCCGACACCGCGTCTCGTTGCTCGTTCATCTCCAGCTCAAAGTCATCAACCGCCATCGGGGTATCTGTAACACAAACGGTCGGGTGTTTCTTATTGTGCAAAAAATAAAAGAACATAATTATAGAACAGTTTGTATACATTTGTATGAGTCTTATAATCTAGGGACAGTTGTAAAAAGTAAATAAAACTAGTTATATTTAAAAGTTGTGCATTGGCTGTTTTTTCGCGGTTTGCGACCTTTTTCAGGCAATTGCTGGATGGAGAAGGAAATTGAGTTTCTTTGTTAGGTCGGGGGGGGGGGGGGGGCGTTAGGTCATGTATATAGTTCGGTCAGGTTAGCGGACGGAGAGAGTGAGAAAGAAAGAACGAAAATTTATTGACACATGCAAAATTGTTTATCAAAAGTGCTAATAGGTCATTAGGTCAGAATTGAATGGTCACGGGGTGCCTTCTAACATTGGTTTTCGGCTGCAGTTCATATGACAGGATGTTGTTACCTAGTTTAAAACCATTCAAGCGTGTGATGTGTATGTGTGTAAATATATACGTTTGTGTTATACATATATATAAAAATAATAAGGGTTTGTTTGCTCCTTCTTCTCATAAGGCTCAACCCCTTGGAAACGGGCGGTTATAGTTCAGCACAGGTATATCATAGATTTTGTATGGGTTTGATTTTTGTTAAATTTATTTGGTTACTATTCGACAAAACAGAGATTGCTGCTTGTGTGTGTGTCGATCTTAGAGTCTACATAAAAAATGATTTCAAACAATTTTAATTTTTTTTATGAAATAAAGAAAGGAATAAACAATAGGTATCTAAAATAGGGAAACATGCAATAAAACCAAGAGCAGGTGAGTGTGTGCGGTGCTCACCGAGGTGGTCGAGCGTGACGCCCATGGCGCGGCGCAGCGCGTGCAGCGGCGCAACGTGTCGGGGCGGCACGCGCGCCAGCATGCCGCGCAGGCACAGCGCCGCCAGCCGCGCCAGCTCGCGCTCCGCCGCGCCCGCGCGCGCCGACAGCGACAGGTGCCACGGCGGCGGCGCCGACAGCCTGCACCAACGTTTATATTTATATCTATACTAATATTATAAACCTGAAGAGTTTGTTTGTTTGTTTGAACGCGCTAATCTCAGGAACTACTGGTCCGATTTGAAAAATTCTTTCAGTATTAGATAGCCCACTTATCGAGGAAGGCTATAGGCTATATATCATCACGCTAAGACCGATAGGAGCGGAGCACCAAGAAGAATGTTTCAAAAACGGAGAAAATTTATTACTATCGAGAGACGCAGACGAAGTTGCACGGGTCAGCTAGTACGATATATTTATGTAAAAAAAGTATTTATGTATTGTGTATTGATGTATTGTAGTCGACCGGATGACGTAGTGGTTTGTGTAACGGACTGCTATTCCAAAAAGTCGCGGGTTCGATTCCCGCTCGAGTCAAACATTTGTGTGCATAAACTTTTAATGTTTGGTTTGATGAGGTGTATGTGTGCATGACTGCAAATAAGTTTTGCTGTTAACTTGTGTCATGAGTAATAAACGAGCATCCAATCACAACGGTAGTTTCACTAGTAGTATAGTAGCCGACACAGCATTTGGTCTGGATGTTTCTATGTATAATAAGTATGTATTTACAAAAAAAAAAAGGTATATATGTATTTATATCATTATCTAGTACCCATAGTACAAGCTCTGCTTAGTTTGGGACTAGATGCCGTTGTGTCAATGTGGTACAATATTATTATTATTATTTATCAATAAACTGGTATTCTATTCTACTCTGTTCTATATTCTCCTACCTATTCTCTGTTCCCGATTAAGTCGATGCCCTAAGCGATGTTCCCTATGGGATCCTTTATCCTTAAATCGACTACAAAGAATTTATTAAAGAGACTGCGACCAAAAACACGCAAATTTTGAAATTGTTAAAACCTTCATATATTCGTTTTTTTTTTTCTCGGTCGCCTCTAATGCCCCTATATACGAGAAGCCCTAAGCGATTGCTTATAGGGTAATCCAAGACTGCCTATCGTCCTCCTCATACTTTAAAAACATACACACTTTCCTATTGAAAAAACCGTTGATCCAAACAGCCCTTCGAACCTGGAGGAGAACGAGAAAGACTTGCTCGTGTTAAAAATATAAAACACCCCTTTCCCCATAATATCCTCATACCTCAGTTAATTTACTTTTAATATACACACACAAATTTATGAAATAGTATACATTTCTTCTGTATTCTATTAATAAATCTAATTCAAATAAAATAACTATAGTAGGTACCTTCAGAGATATTTCAAATACCAATACAAAATATTTATACAGCTTACATTTAAAACTTATGACCCGAAACAAAAGGAAAAATGCGAGTGTGTGTGTGTGTGTGTGTATATCATAAACAATGATTAAGGACCCACTACTTTATTCGAAGCTCTCGACTAAATATCAACTTTCTAAGCGATACATACATAGACCCTATATGTTTTGAATATATTCAACTTCGATAGAATCAAAATTTTTTATCATCATCACGATGTTTCTACATAAGAAAATTCCTCAAACACGCATTCATATGTACATCAAAAGCTACCATTTTATTAAAAAAAATCGGTTGTCTGTAAAGTCGGTTTACTGACGATAGTTGAACGTGACAACGTCATAAGACACCACATTCACTTTTCACTGCACTTCATACTTGACGAAAACATGTAAATGTACTATAGTATAGCAGCTGTCCACGCGAACGCATCGCTCACTCAAGTAGGAGAGAGACATATGTCGAACGCTGCTGAACGCGGAGGCCGATTGTGCCTCTTTGTCGCTCGTTCCGCGCTCTCGCTTGCACTTCACGCCTTAAATGGAACGCCTCAGAGCGAGGTAACGCCGCATGAGTCATGTTTTTTCGTGCGTGCAGCCGGCTCCATCGAATTATAAGACGTTGTCACGTCAAAAAGAACTAATTTGTCTTTACAGTCAACTACAGTATGCCATAGATAAAAGAAATTATCATTAGATATAGTACAGTCGCTCACCGGTCTCTCTGTTCCTTCTCCAGCTTGGAGAGCAGCTCGTGCGTGTGCTTGAGCGCGGGCCCGATGCCGTAGTCGTGCTGCGAGGCCGCGATGTCCTCCTCCAGCTCGTTCAGATATTCCACGTCGATACCCAGCTCCGACAGACTGCGTAGCTGATCAATATCCACCTTCACCTTCGACAGATCCTGTCCAAATACCAACTTTATTATTTTCTATTCACATTGGGGCAAACGAACGACGAATCACCTAATAGTACTGCCCAGGGCGTCAATTCTGCTATTTTACGGTAGCGTACAAGTCACTGCATTGCATTGACACGCTATCGAGATGCCATTGACTTCGGTCAAAACATCGGTATTCTACTAACATAAATTCTCAGTGTCAAGAGACTGTCAATGTATGGATGATGAATATCAACAACATAAACATGGAAAATTAAATATATAATTTCCTTACTAATTTAAGATTTACCGTTTTCCAAACTATTAGAAAGACATCGACGACATTTGTATCAGTGGCAGTTCAGTGAAAAGTCATCGAGGGCTATTGGTCTTACATAGTTAGTAGAATGCGTAAAGTGTAAAACTATTCCGAGGACAGTCTATTGATACAATATTAATATAGCAGAATTGAGGCCCTGGACACCTGCTACTCATAAGACATTACTATCCTTTGAATCCCTTTCCCCAGAGTTGGGAGGAGAGTATCATTCCGGTGGAGCCGGCCCAATGTGTGCCGAGAATATTTCAATTTGAAATACTCTTTAAACATTTTTATGTGCACTATGGTATATTACCAGGGCCTCAATTCTGCTATTTTATGTTAACGCCAAGCCACTGTCATTCCATTGACACGCTATTGAGATGCCATTGTGACGATATTGACATCGGTCAAAATATCAGTATTCTACTAACATCAATTCAGTGTCATCAGACTGTCGATATAGTAATATAGGTCATTAATGGTGATATCAACAACATTGCCATAACGGGAAAATTAAATATATCCTTTTCTTATAAAAATTAAAATGTACCGCTTACCAAACTATTACAAAGACATCGACGACATTTGTATCAGTGACAAGTCATCGGGAGGCCATTGGTCTTACATAGAAAGTAGAATACGAAAAGTATAAACCTATTCTGATGACATTCCATCGACAGTCTATTGATACGATATTAAAATAGCAGAATTGAGGCCCTGGACACCTGCCACTGATAAGACATTACCATCCTTTGAATCCCTCAGTCATCCCGGCGTTAACGGGTAGAAATAATGCAAATGGTTACCACGCATATTTTGTACCAATAAAAGTCGATATATTTGATTTTGCTAAGTGGTATTTCTATGCTGTTTATGTATACTGTGATAACTCACGTTGTCTTCCTTGGCCGGTGTTTGTTCCTGCTGTTGTTTCTTTTCAGGGAAGAGAGTTTCCATGTCGTAGATCAGCGCCCAGGGGGAGTCGGGGGCGAAGCGGAGCATCTCCTCGTTACCTTGCCCTGTTTCAGCAGCTGAACAACAAAAATACACCTAATGACAATCTCTATAACACAACTTAAATTTATAAAAATATGCAGTTACTAAAACGTATACGTATGTTTATTGTATCATCGTCATCAGCCTATTGCAGTCCACCGTTGGACATAGGCCTCTCCCATTGCACGCCACTTAGATCGATTTTGGGCTTCTCGCATCCAGCTCTGCCTTCTCTGGGATACGACTGGGTCACCCTTTGGCTCCATCTGTCGCATCCTCTTGTCACTTATAGCTGCCTGTAAGAGGAAGCTATATATTCAACGAGAAAGACGGATACCTGATAGTTCCTTCTGTCTCTGTAAAACTAAGCTGCGATTGGCTATCGTGAAGAAGAGTAGGTTAGAAATTCCTAAACCAACCACAGAGCTCGACTAGAAAGAGATAGAGGGAACTATCTACTATTCGTCTCTCTCTCGTTGCCTATATTGCAAGATTGAGACTCTTGTTCACTCTATGCCTATATCTCTATGTCTTATCGTCTTTCTGTCACAGTGACAGATGTGTTTTGTTGACATATTTTTGACATCCTTCTGGTGAGTAACAATTACATTTCAACATATAAGAAGATACTCACGCAACGTGTGATACAGAAGATGGGATTCCTCTTTAGTGAGCGTGGCGAAGGTCCCGTCGTATGAAGGCGCGTATGAACTAAACGGTCCATAGTTGAGAGGTTTGACTCCTTTGGCGACGTTACGGCGGTCTTCTCTGGGAGCTGTGAAGAAAAACACTCAGGTGACATAAGGTTATCAATTAATATTGTGGAATATTCCAGAATATAACCTGATAAATAATGATTACCTGGACGCAGATCTGGCATATTACAGATAGATTAAGATGGATCGAGATGACGCTGTGTTCTAAACCAAATATGATAGTATATCAACGATTATGTAAATCCCGCCACAGATCATAAAAAAACAGATAGATGTCGTCACCGCATAATTAACTTTTAAAAAAGTATCACCGACTTTTACTTTTTTAGTTTTTTTTTAAAAGACAACTCATTATTTACATTAGTAATATATTAGACAGGCATTAGTAATATATCCTGTGTCGACATTACAAACATACATGAAACGGACACAAAAAAAACCTAGACTCAAAACAACAATTTGTGGATCACACAAAGAGTCGTCCCATGTGGGGATCGAACCCACAACACTCAGTAGAAGTAAGCGGCGAGGCGACCGCTTATACCACTACGCCATCCGTGCAGTCAATATGGCACGAGCAACCGTATGGTAGTAAATAAGTACCATGGACAAATACAACTTAAAGATTCTGTGAGTTCATCTCCATCACGGTTTTAGAGGGAGAGGTTCGAGAAGGGAGTTTAGCCTCCAGTAATCTACTAACTTCAAAAGCAGTAAAAGAATTGGTTAACAGAGGTTTTTTGTTATGAAATAAATAACACTTACTGTACAAGGTGCCAGTGCCCTGTGTGAGTTTGCCCACGTATCGGCCTAGCGTGAGCGGCTTGTCATCCCCGGAGCCCTCCGCCGTGTTCGTAACGAGACACAGCGTGGTCTTGCCCTCTGCATCCATACGGGGGAATGCTGTAAAAAGAACCAACGTAAGAATGAATTCAAGTTTCTTGTCACTTTCTTTCAACTTCTATAATATAATATTCTTCTCTTTCCAATATTCTCTTCTAAAACACAATATTCCGCCCCTGCCAATAAAACTACTTCTTTACCTGAAATTGGCACAGAATAACACAAGGTTCAGCTTTAAATGAATACTGACTTTTTGGACCGTTTAAAGGCAATATTAAAATGTATTTAATACTAGCTTGTGCCCGCAACTTCGTTCGCGTGGAATTTGAAAAGCCGCTGCCTTAGTGGGTCCGATGCCCGGACCGATCAAAATTTTAAAGGGTTTTTCTGAGAGGACAAATAGGCTAAGTTATTCCTTATATAGATAGCTACCTGGTAGTAAAATATTATCGAAATCGGTCCAGCCGTTTAGAAGATTACTCGGAACAAACAGACAGACAGAAAGACAGACAGACAAAACATATTTAAACTGGTTTTTAGGCATAGGTATCGTGCAAATAACAGTGTGAGCATGAAAAAGAACCATTATTTTGACATTACAAACAGACACTTCAATTTTATTTATTTGTATAGACCAGTGGACTCAACAGACTTTTTCCTGTACACTTTTTAAGTTCGAAAAACAAACATTTTGCAGTGAACCGAGTTGTCAATCTAACCCAATCTCGAATCCACACACAAAATATTTACATCAAAATCGGTCTAGGCGGTTAGGAGGAGTTCAGTTACATAAACACACCCAGAAGAATTATTTATATATATATATATAAAGATATACACACTAATCTCAGCAGCCAGGATCCTATGAATTCGATTTAAGATCGATTTCGGCATATCGGTATAGTAGTTAACTAGTTAGTAATCAAATTGTTAAAGGTATCGATTATCGCTACACAATCCCGTGAAACATTTAAGTACCATCATCGTACGTCGAAAGCGTAACAAACAAACTCACTTTAACATTTTTTAAGTGTGGATGTCAGCAGTCAGAAGGTCAATGCTCGCAATAATACTTTCGATCTCACAACCGCCATAAAAGATATTTTCGTAGTAAAGTATTACTAAAACTAGCAGATTATCGATTCAATTTTCAGTTACAATACGATATAATCACATTACAGTCAACGAATGAGTGTTTAATAGAGGTAACGTAAGATCGAAAGTTGATCGAACTTTTATTACGAGAATTGGCCTTCTGGTTATGATACCACAGCCTCTGTCTAGTTCGAGATCAAAAAATTTTAATTTAAAACTAACCTTTCTTAGCCAATCGTCGCCTATGCTGTTCCCTGGCGGCCTCCATCTGTATCTTGACGCTGTCGCAATGCGTCTCCTGACCTCCATCAGACACCGTCTCAGCCTCCGACCCCCCACTCTTCAAGGGGCTGCTCCTCTTCAGCACCTTGTGCTGTGATCAGTGGTGATAGGGCTTCGTGTAGACAGATTAATAAAGACCGATAGGGGGCGGTTGTTGAAAGCTTTGACGATTTTTTATAGTAATTAAAGAGTTAAATCTAGATTTCTACTAAAATTAGAGCCGTACAGCTGAGGAATTGTGTCCATCTACCAGAAGATGGAATTATCCAGCACAAACAATTGAATACAAGCTACTGAGCATGGTCGCCGTACCGAATATGGGGTTCGGATCCTTTCGTAATTTAAAAAGGAGAAAATTACACAGACATCACACATAACCTCAAGCATGGGATGTCCCCAAGCAAAGTGCCTCTTTTTAATTCCGTGGTCCTTTAAACCCATTTACCAGGCAAAGGAACTAGAACTGCTACTGTTATAAACCACAACGAACTAAACCGCAGTAAGAATATAGAGAGAGCTCTTTATTTTTTAGCAGACGAATCTCCTGATGGAAAGTGACTACCGCCGCCCACGAACGATTGCAACTCAGGAGCCACAAGCGCGTTGACGGCCTTTGAGGAAGGAGTAAGCTCTCTTCTTGAAGTTTTGAAGGTCTGGAAATACCGAAGACGATAATTTGTTCGACAGATTGGTTGTACCACAGAAAACAGTAAAAAAAAAACAATGAAACCTATCGCTAATTGACTGCCTGAGAGATGAGGTAATGCAACAGAATATCATTAATTATATTCAAGTATAATCAGGATTGTTATATGCTAAAACTTGTCCCACAAGTTCACCGTTCGTTATACATTGAACAGTTACCAGTGCTTACTAAAAATGAAATAAAATACACTTTTTTCAGCCATAGTTTAGGGCTTCTTACGTAAAATGATCAAGCAAATTGCCGTCACCAGGACAGTGGCAGGGAAGGTACTGATATAGATCGATTTGGGAGTTTAAGCAAGCAAAGGCCGTATACCTGTAATTTGAACTGGCTTTTACCAGGAAATCTGAGGGATCTAGCCAACGAACAAACGAAAAATATATGAAATCTTATCTTCAGGTAAGAATAATTGACTAAGACAATAAAGGATGGCCTGTTCTGGAGATAGAGAAAGAAATAGGGTTGTCAACGAATGATTTGGCTTAACACTTTATTCACTAGTAGCGACACAACACTGTAATAGGTCTCCTGTGCAGTGGAATTACATGCCTAAGCGGGCGGTTCCAATTTAAGCAGGAATCAGCTGTATTATACACAGGAGTATTTATTGGTAAATTTCCAAAATCACTCAAAATTTATTTATTCAAATATTTATTTTACATGCCTTGCGAGAACATAAAATAAAAGGTGCACTTTAATACTCACGTCCATAGACAACATAAAAACTTTCAACAGCCGCTGTTTTAATGAAGACTCATGCAGCTTTTATATCCTATCGTCACGAGCACAATACAATAACAAACGCTGGGCGACAGAAGCAAACTGAAAAAATCTGCTAATCCACTAATGTTACACTTCTAAATCTCTATTAATATGGTCAAAAGTTCACCTTTCTGCCGTACGTCCTAAGTGGCTGCGATGCAAAAAGTCATTTTATCAACATGTTTAGTTCTGCACTTAAAAAAAAAGAAGAAAAAATGTGGGTAGTTTTTTTTTTGGTTAGAAGTTGGCGAATAAAACAAAAATAAAAATTAGGTTTACGCTTTGCTCAAAGACCCGCTGATTTCGTGTTTACGATATACATTCTACTTCTTATAAAAAAAAAAACATTTTTAACTCTTTTTAACATATGAATTTTAATAAATCTAAATTTACTGGTGTTAAAATTAATCAAAGTAAATTCAACGCATGATACCTCAAATTAGTAGTACTTTGTTTAGTTTATTAGAACTCTTAGTAGAAATCTTTTAACACCTGATGACAGTCACTAATATTTTTAATCTGTGACTGAGCTATTCAATAAAGGAATATTGGTATTTGCCCTAGAGCCAAGGGGCAAGTAACCCCAAAGTTACTTCGTTACAGTTACTTAGTTGATATAGATTGTCCTTTGACACAATTTATCCTATAATTATTATTGTTATTTAATTATATTAAGTTAGGCTGAGTGCGAGTTTATTTCACATCGACTCACTCTCGACAGCTAGCGCGTTTAGCGTTGTGATTGGTGGAGATTTTAGTGCGGACCAATCGTAGCGCTGAACGCTGTCACCGTGACCATCGAGTAGAAGTAAAATAAACTTGACTGCACGGATGGCGTAGTGGTTTAAGCGGTCGCCCCGCCGCTTCCTACTACGCCGAGTGTTGTGGGTTCAAACCCCACATGGAACGACACTTTGTGTGATCCACAAATTGTTGTTCTGAGTCTGGGTGTTCTTTGTGTCCGTTTCATATATGTTAGTAAAGTCCCCCGTGACACAGGAATGTATTCCTACTGCGGGAGTTGTCTTTTTTAACAAAAAAAAAAAGAAAGAAAACTTGCACTGGCCCTCGGTTTTTAAGAGCACATTACAACAAGTGATGGTAACCAGATTATATGCGTCACCAATTCTTGAAAAAGAGTAGTTTATTTTAAGGTACAATATTTGATATCCTTCCATCCTTAAACTCGAGCTATTAAGTTATAGAGTGAGACACAGAACGCCATTTTTATAAATAAAATGCTGTCTTTTTGACTGGCTAATAGTAAAATTTAGCCAAATAAATAACTTATATTTTCAATGAAGTTCGGCGTCATCTATTTATGTTTCATGTGCTTTAATCTAAGTGAAAAGAAGTTTATAAATTGTCTGATTTAGAATATGGAAAAAATAAAAGATTGATGTATACCCTTTGAATTGTCGGACTAAACCTACAATGACACCTACAGACAAACGGCTATAGCCCCCCGGTTGCAGTAGCTATAATCTTGATGATGTAAATTACAAAAACCACAAAATAAATCGCCCAAATCAGCAGTAGTTGGTTTTAAATAAAATTTAGTCATACCACATCCATTTTTCCGATGTCGAAGCCGAGTTCCTTGATAGGTATTTCATACATGTATGTTAATATGTTGCCCAGAGGTCGGAGTTTCTGCGGAGTAAGCTGTTTGAGCCCTGCGTGCAGTAATCTTCTGGCTGCCTTGTGATAGACTGTCCCCGCTTTGTTGTACTTCATAGCGTTATTGCACATTAATTTGAAATCACTCTGTATTTGGAAAATTTGTATTTTTTAACAGTTTTGTTTTCATATTCCTATAGGCTACTGTTTACTATGCCAGAGATCGTGGGTACGACTCCCATGAAGGACATATAAACGTGTGACGAGCATAATTATTTATTCTGTAGCTGAGTGTAATTTATCTATTATACAAGGTGTAAGGGACATCGTACCGAATACTGAAATAGTGTATTCAGACCATTATTCTGAGTCGAAAATTCGAAAAGTCGAAAAAAAAATGTGTTATATAACTTACTATAAAACAGTTCAATGATTTGTATTCATTATCATCAATCTTTTGCTTCATAGTGGAAAAGTCCATAGGTTTTCTGATGATGTCTGAATATCCTGGTGCAAAGTTGTCATTCACAGGCCACGCAAAGAACTGGTGTGGGTCCCGCTTCTCCAAGTTGCGGAGTAGTTGTTCTAAGAGGCGGGACAGTGGGCGTCGTTTTTGGCTTGCCTGGTGTTTAAAATAACTGGTATTAATACGGGTTCGTTGTAGTGTTGTACTTAGAATCAGAGACTACAGCAGAATTTTTTAAATCTAGTGCAATCAACGTAGTTGTATTTGTCTTGCGACATTTTAAAAGCTTACAAGTAAGTCTATACAAATAAAAGTATATTAATGTCAAAAAATTATACAGAAAACCTAAAAAATTTTTATGTAACGAAACATACCGTAACAAGCAGACGGGTCACCTGGATGAAGATAGGTGGTTATGGTGTAAATACATACATATTGTACATAGAAAATACCCAAACTCCGAAACAAATATTTGCAGATTATACAAACATTGGGTACAACCTGGGAATCAAACCCGAGACCTCAGCACAGCAGATGCATACGCTAAACTTTGTGTGCACATCCGGCAGAATTAGGGAGGGGACTAGAGGTTGGGTATCCAGTTACCACACTCACAAGCAACTAAAGAATTATTTAATACTCATTTTCTGTGAGGTCATAGTTGGCTCTCAAAACATGCCTATGATAACTGTTTTCAAAGTTAACCACTGAAATATGCTTGAACCTCTCATAAGCTGGGATATGCCACAACACTGTAAAGTGCCTTCACCGTTAAGCACTGTACAGTGTAGCCACATATCAGAGGGTAACTACTGAATATTTACCATTTGGCAAAAAAAATGTGTCATTTTGTGATGTCACTTATGACTAAAATTGACATTCTGGTTATTTCATAACCACACAACCAACCCACATGGAATAACACTTTGTGTGATCCACAAATTGTTGTTCTGAGTCTGGGTGTACTTTGTGTCCGTTTCATGTATGTTTGTAAAGTCCCCCGCGACACAGGATTTATTCCTAGTGCGGGAGTTGTCTATATAAAAAGAAAGAAAGAAAGAAAGATTTTAGCTCTGTCCCTAGTATAATATATATATGATAATTGATAATTGATGATCTGGTTACCTAAGAGTATGTTACAACACTAGTAACATACTCTTAGGTAACCAGATCATCAATTTATAATATATAACTACAGATATATATATAACTAACAATGTAAAACAAGCTAATTACTTGAAAAAAAAAACAAAGCTCGACTGTGAGGAAGTGTATACCTATAAAATTTACAAACCAGTGATTATAATTTCCATGTATACGTAATTTTCACTTACCCAATGTCACTCTCACAATTAAGACGAATATAATGACAATTAAAACATCAAAATCGATCAAGTTGTTTAGGCTAGAGAGTGTACAAGAGAAATATAAATATATGCACTCGAAAAATATAACCCTCCATCTGGTGAAGTCGAGTAAAAATAATCTACTCTTAGTCGTCATACCCAAATCAAACTTTGTATATAGTATGTATGTACACATGTGTATATGTATGTGTATCATCATCATCAACAGCCTATAACAGTCCACTGCTGGACATAGGCTCTCCTTAGAAAGGAGGTTTTGGCCTACTATACCACGCCGGCCAGACGGGTTATATAGGGTTTGTTTCAAGTTTTCCTTCTCTTTGCAGTGCTGTTGTCCCAAGTAGTTTGTTCCCTCAGTCGCCTCTTACGACACCCAAGGGATGAATAGGGGTGGTGATATTCCGTATTCTTAATTCGTCACCACACGAACTGTGTATGTATGTAGATGCTACTTTTCAAATACTATTTGAGTTCATGTGATTCGTTTTCACAAGTCCAACAGATTGAGCTTGATACTGATGGTCTGATAAAGAAATTGGGAGGGGGATAAGGATAACAGAAACCTTTTTTTTAAGTTTTACAGAACTATAAATTTTTACAAAAATAAAAATGAGAAATAAACATTTTTAAAAGAAAAACATGGGAGATGGATCATGGAAGAACACAAGGTGTTGTGATGGTGACTTATACACAAGTGCACATTGTATAATAGGTATACCTTAAGAACACAGGTTCGAGGTTCCCTGTGAGAAGCAGAAGCAGGTGAGTTGGGTCCTGGACTAAGCCGACGGATCAGCTTTTTGGCCAGGCCCTCGTCATCCGAGTCATCTTCATCAGACAACTTTATCTATAACAATCCATTTCAAAGACATTTAAGATAAACTTCGTAATTGTTCAAAGATGAACATATAACTGCTAATAATAGCTAAAACTAAAGTGCTTTAACCAGAAAAAAAAACAATTAGTGGAGGAGAACCCCCTAAACAATATCTTAAAGTATTGATAAAAAATTCAAACCATATCAACCTCGCGGCGTCTTCTTTTCCTTTTTGATTTGTTTGTTATCTTCTCCTCAATTTCTTTGAGTTCATCGTTAGCAGAATGCTCAACATCACTCGCCTCCAGTTCTTCCTCTAAAAGAGTACACAGTTAAGTTAAAAATTTATTCTAATATACATCAACCTATATACGAAGTGCTTTACTTACTACAACTCAGTTTTTCTATATCGTCCATGCTAGTTTTGTTATGATGTCAATAAGACTAATAATGTTTTATGTTAAAAATGTTATTTGGAATGTTTCTGATATGATATGAAGCTAAATAAACAGAAACATTCTCAACAAAACCAAGCCATATCCCGACCATTTGACTGTCAATCGGTTAGGTTTAATATGACAGTTCGATGCTAGCATTGCTAGCATCGAACTGTAACGTTTTGTTAACTCAAAAATTGCCTTATTAAGTGCTAAACTGTGAAATTAATCATTCTTGTTTTTAAGTGAAAATTTGTGGAAATCCACAATTAGATCGTTTTTAACTGTTTCTTTGTATGTCTGTCTCTTTGTAAGAACATGGGTTACTAGAAAATGAAAAAGTAAGTTATAGCATTTCCCCAAAAAAACATGGCATAACGTAATTTAGAATTTTATCATAAAGTCATTAATTTAAAAAAAATTACTTAAATACTAAAATATATTTAAAATTTATTTTCATACAGGTCTGAAAAATACAAATAGGTACAAATGGTTTCTAATTTCAATAGGATTAAAATACAAGACTTTTGTAACAGATGGCGTTTTAACAAATTAAACGTAAATAAATTTTTTCACCAATCTTATGTTAAAAATATTACGAGATACCTATAATTATACCCAATGTTTTATAAAATAATGGGTATAATAGAGTATAATTATTGATATAGCTCAATAAATAACAATAATTAATGAAATAAAATACTGTTACACATCGCTACGAAAATTAAAAATTATAAGCAAGTGGAGAGTGATAATATATGGATAACGTTGTAAACAAAAAAGAACAAGTTTAAGGATTTCTATTGTTTTTACATCTCTCGGAAACATTATTTTTAAGAAAGTTTGAGAGATTTAATGATTAAATTTTTTGCAACATTTCAAATTAAACGATTGAATATATCCATTATCGGCTAAGCAGAACAAACAGACAGACAAAGTTATTGTTACATTTATTATTTTACTCCATATAGCAAAGAAATAGTAATCAAAGCTATAAAATAACCCATATAAAGAAAGACGAAAGCCAAATTTAAAACATTAATTAAAAACGAAAGCATGTACCTACTAAATGTATTACAATCTTCCTTGATTATCTAGTTTTTGATAGGTAATTTATCATCATCATGATGATAACTACTACATTAATGAAAGTGGTGGTTCTATGGTGTGATGGGCAGGCCCCCTCTTTACCATCCCATCCACTAGAGCGGTAATTCCTGCAATCGATTAATGATTACCAATCGATAATCGATATTGATCTCGAAAAAATCAAGCGATAATGACTGACTACAATACTTTCTTTATCTATTCTAGCAAAATAATGCTCAGCCAAGGTCGTAGGGGCATTATCCTAATGTGTGATGTTGTGGAAATAATGTCTTATTAAGAAATGATAATTATTTAACATTGTACTATAGTACTAAGAATACGGAACGTCACCACCCCTATTCATCGCATGGGTGTCGTAACAGCCGACTAAGGGACCTAAACTACGCAGGACAAAAGCTCTGCAAAGAGAAGGAAAACTTGATACAAACCCTATACCAACCCGTCTGGCCAGCGTGGTATAGTAGGACAACACCTAAGGCTCTCCTTAGGCTCTCCAGCATTGGACTATTAAAGACTGTTGATGTGATGATGTACTATGGGACAACAAAAAAACTGAACGTATCTTCTAAAATCTTTTTCCCCGTGTTAACAGTTAACCAAATAATAGGGTAGATGACTGTCAAGTCTAATCACTGTCTTTTTTAAAAGTCAAAACGCTAGACGCGGTAAATTTTTGTATGAGATACTATTTCGTGACGTCATACCTAGTTATTGTCAAATCATTTATATTTAACGTTGATATTAAAGATAATATATTAAATAAAGAAAAGAAAAAAAAAAATTGACAATGGAGGACAATTTAGCCTCTACTTTGAGATATTAGATTTAATGATACAGGCGAAATAATTTATTTAAACCTAGGAATCTACCCTACTAAAAAGCTAAGAAAAATGCATAAAAATACCCCACAGCAATCTGTTAAATTTAAAATAATGAATGTGCCGGAACTTTCTGGAAACCATTTTATTAGCCTCAGACGATTTATGACAGCTAGCCTTCGCTCATATAATTCTTTGACAGGTATTTCAATGAATCTAGTCATTGTCACAGCAGTTTTTAATATGTCGTAAATTCATAATTTTATGATGTGAAGTACACCCCACACAGACAAAGTGAAAGTCTATATTATGTGACGTGTGATAACACATAGATGCTTAAATATATTAATAGGAGATGCAATATATATTCGATAAATAGGCATTAATTAGCCTTTCTCTTTTACATACTAGCTTTTGCACGTGGCTGTGAACCTGTTATTCATGATATAGTCATCATCATCATCATCAACAGCCTTTAATAGTCCACTGCTGGACATAGGCCTCCCCTTAGAAAGGACGTTTTGGCCTACTATACCATGTTGGCCAGACGGGTTGGTATAGGGTTTGTTTCAAATTTTCCTTCTCTCTGCAGTGTTGTTGTCCTGCGTAGTTTTCTCCCTTAGTCGCCTCTTACGACACCCACGGGATGAATAGGGGTGGTGACACTCTGTATTCTTAATCCGTCACCACACGGACAGATGGCGTCATGATATAGGGAGCAAACGAAAAGATGGCTGATTATGAGTTACTACCACCGCCCATAGACACTAGTTAGTCTAGGCAAAAATGTGTTGCCTTGCCTTTGAAGTGTCTTTTTGAAATGAAGTTTCTTATCGCGAGTTACACGCACTGAGCGGATGGGAGCGAGACCGAAAAATGTGTAACAAGGCTTTTTGCCGACATTTCAGTATTATATCTCTGTTAGTTAGTTAGTTATATCTCTGAGTAGGCAAAATCCCATGATGACCGGATGAAATAATTACAAACTATTTTACAGTAGGAATTATTGGTCTCTCGATTTATTAAAAACACATAAAAATCTTAATAAAAAAAGAATTTGCATGGAACGCGGAGGTGTCAAATCAAAAGATAATGAAATAAATAATCTGAAGCAAAGGACAATAAACATACTTGTACATACACACTCACGCCTGGATCCCCGAAGGGGTAATCAGAGGCGTATTATAAACACTAAATTTTAACCCCATTTATATTTTTTTTAATATACCTCACACATTTCACACACGGCCGTCTGATCCCAAACTAGGCAGAGCCTGTGCTATGGTGACCAGACTGCTGATAAACATACTTATATATTTTTAAATACATACATATTATAGATAAATTACACCCAGACACAGAACAAATGATCATGCTCATCACACAATATTTGTCCTGGGTGGGAATCGAACCCACGACCTCCGGCTTAGCAGTCAGGGGCACTAACCACTCGACCAACAGGCCCGTATAACGGTGTATTTTTATAATACACCGTTATGCGTGTGATGAAGGTTTAAGAATACAGAGTGTCACCACCCCTATTCACCCCGTGGGTGTCGTAAGAGCCGACTAAGCTAACTATGCAGGACAACTTACAGCACTTCCAAAATAAAGGAAACCTTAATACAAACCCTTTACCAACCCGTCTGGTCAGCGTGGTATAGTAGGCCAAAACCTCCATTGTAAGGAGAGGCCTATGGCCAGCAGATGACTGTTAGGGGCTGTTGATAATATAGTACACCACAACTATATTTTCATAATAACAAACACACTACAGGAATTAAGTAGGAAATTAGAGAGAAAAAAAAAGGGTCAATTATTAGTATCAGCAAAACTGAGCAACGCCATCTCGTCAACAAACAACGTACTAACTGTCGATTAACAAGAAATAAAGAACACTTACAAAAGTATTAACGTGCCCATTTAATTCCTATTAACAACAAATAACCGAACAGTTAGTTTATATGAATCGTGAATAGTATTTCTAAGCGTTAGTGTTGCTGCGCGAGCGCACGAACGATGATCGATAGAACAGCGCTATCGCTTTCGGCGCGCGGCTGTGGCTCGGTGCAGACAATTAATTTAGAAGTGCATTTGTTCCTGATAACACCCTGTAATACTGTGTTCGTTGTAAGGGTGAGGACACAATACACCTTTCTGGCTAACATCATCGTCGCCGTGATTGTCCTGTCGTGTTCGCAATTTAATTGGTATTGGAACAGATTTTGTTTATGGTCGATCGCCTACCTTTTTTTAGGGTTCCGTACCCAAAGGGTAAAATGGGACCCTATTACTAAGACTCCGCTGTCCTTCCGTCCGTCTGTCTGTCTGTTCAACAGTCACCAGGCTGTATCTAAAGAACCGTGATAGTAAGACAGTTGAAATTTTTACAGGTGATGTATTTCTGTTGCCGCTAAAACAACAAATACTAAAAACAGAATAAAATAAATATTTAAGGGGGGCTCCCATACAACAAAGATAATATTTTTTTTGGCTCAATATTGATAACGGCAACAAGTATCATTTATAGAATATTTAGTTATATATTCACTTAAAAAAAAACATAAAACAAACATTTAAGGGGGGCTCACATACAACAAACGCAATTTTTTTGCCGTTTTTATAGATAATGGTACGGAACCCTTCGAGCGCGAGTCCGACTCACACTTGGCTGGTTTTTGTATTTATGGAAAGGGGGTTACCTGGCCGTCATTCCATCACCGTTATTTTCATTGCGGTGGGGTGGTGTGTTGAAATACTCCTCCCTAAATAGGAGGGATCGTGGAACAAGCGCCTCACACCAGCCCTTTTTGGGAATGTAACTGTTTTGAAAAGAAAAATTGGGTAAAGGAATTATTTAGTGTGGAGAGTTAGAGTAAGAGATACCGCATGTCTGGAATGGGGAAACGGGATCGAAATTGTAGAAGCTAGAAAAATACAGTCAGCATAATATACAGTACCGTTATGTGTTTTTTACAGCAAATTGACAGCGATTTGAATTAAACTCGAGTTGGATCTGAATTCGTGTAGTGTAGTGACGGATTAAGAATAC